GATGCCCAGGAGCAGATGCATGATGGGCTTTGTAGTGTCACTGCAGCTGGAGGGATGGAGTTTGCCGGCCCCTTTCATCATTACATCACAATGGAACGGCGTTCATCATCTCTTTGATGGCTGTAAATATCGCGGCTCAAACTTCAAAGCCGGCTCCTTCTGTACCGAAAACAATCATATCACGTTGCCACCTCGTGACCTCTCCTGTTCTCTCTGCTGGAGGGGGGGGGGGGGGGGATCTCCTACCTTCATTTTACCCTTTGAAAGGTCACCTGACACCCGACATATTAAAATCTGTACACAGAGGTTGTCACCGCGTCTGGGAGAGATCATCAATGGAGTTGTCCAGGAGCCAGGCGGGGAAAAGATAATATCCTGAAGATCATTCGGACACCCGAGCCCGTTCCTAGGATCTCCATGCTTTGATGTTTAACCCATGAGTGGCCACTGGGGTGGAGGGGGGGTTATAAATGACAGTAGCTCTTCGGTGTATAAGAGACGCAGGGTCAGAAGCCAGATCAGGAGGGTCTCAGGAATTAAGATCAGAAGCCAGATCAGGAGGGTCTCAGCAGTCAAGGTCAGAAGCCAGATCAGGAGGTTTACAGGAATCAGGGTCAGAAGCCAGAACATTAGGGTCACAGGAATCAGAGTCAGAAGCCAGATGGGGAAGGTCTCAGGAATCAGGGTCAGAAGCCAGATGGGGAAGGTCTCAGGAATCAGGGTCAGAAGCCAGATCAGGAGGGTCACAGGAATCAGGGTCAGAAGCCAGAACATTAGGGTGACAGGAATCAGGGTCAGAAGCCAGATGCGGAAGGTCTCAGGAATCAGGGTCAGAAGCCAGATCAGGAGGGTCTCAGGAATTAAGATCAGAAGCCAGATCAGGAGGGTCTCAGGAATTAGGGTCAGAAGCCAGATCAGGAGAGTCACAGGAATTAGGGTCAGAAGCCAGATCAGGAGGGTCACAGGAATCAGGGTCAGAAGCCAGATCAGGAGGGTCACAGGAATCAGGGTCAGAAGCCAAATCAGGAGGGTCCCAAGAATCAGGGTCAGAAGCCAAATCAGGAGGGTCCCAAGAATCAGGGTCAGGAGCCAGATGAGAAGGGTCTCCGAAATCAAGCTCAGAAGCCAGGTCAGCAGGTTCCCCGGAATCAGGGTCAGAAGCCAGATCAGGAGAGTCACAGGAATCAGGGTCAGAAGCCAAATCAGGAGGGTCCCAAGAATCAGGGTCAGGAGCCAGATGAGAAGGGTCTCCGAAATCAAGCTCAGAAGCCAGGTCAGCAGGTTCCCCGGAATCAGGGTCAGAAGCCAGATCAGGAAGGTCTCAGGAATTATGTAGCAGGTTACTGGACAGCAGGCAAGGAAACAGGATACACAGGAGGAACAATGCTGAGACAAGCTTAGCTAAGTACTGCCAGAAGCCATCATCAGATGGGGACTAATTGCCAAGGGCTGTTAGCTGCTGAGAGACACCCGCTGGTGGACACTGGAACTGCACACTTCAGATCCACACACCACAATGCCACCAGCAGGTGTTCTGGTTCCTGACACTGATCACAGGGTTATTCACAGAAGGGTGAAGAGTTTGGAGAAGGCCGGAGAAGTGAACAATCTAGGACAACATCGCTGAAGCGGAAAGTGATCTAAATTGGAGAATTTTTCTAAATCAGCCATGTTGGCCTAGATTGTTCACTTCTCCAAACTCTTCACCGTTTTGTGAATAACCCTGGGGGTCTCGGGACGTGCGTCTTTTGCATGAAGCGACGTTTGAGATAAAACACACATGGTGAACTTAGAGGCTTCTTATGTCCATCCCGGTGTGATAGGTGAATTGTGAACCCCAGTGCTGAAAGACAACAGTGCTAACCAGTGCTGCAACTTCCTACCCCCGGTACCAAAGCTTCTGCAACAGCCAAACCTTTTTTTTTTGTTGGACTGAAATGTTCTGTTTCCTGCGAACGTTCTTTCTAGAGACCCGTCTCCGATTTCGCCTTCTGAAAGAGTCGCGCAGACTCGTGGAACGATACAAATTTCTGAGTTGATCCACTTAGCAATCATCACCGGCATAACACCGAGTGCTGGAGATTTCTCTCTCCCTGGCGCGGCTTCTGTCTATAATTAAAACCGTTCAGCGGCTGGAATTCTTTTCTCCGCTGCAAACCCCAAGTTTCCTCTAAAGTGGCGACGAATTCCTCGCCATTAATCCCCGTCTCGCGTCCCCACTTAACGCTGTACCAAGCGTTTACCCGGCGGCTCGTCCGACGGGCCGTATTTGGCGAGGCGAGTACATTTTAGGTCGCGGCGAAAACCACAGCGGATAACCTGCGGTCGCTGCGCAGCCCGCGGCGTTCCGTTTAGTACAGCGAATGAAAGAGGGGAAAAGTAGTTTTTCTGCTGACAGAAATGAATCCGACGTTTTATTATATGATGTGGTGCTGATACTTTTTCCACAGCGCTTTCAAGGGGACATTAAAACCGCCCACGTCAGTCCCCGTCCCCCTAACGGAGCGTACGCTTTAATGCAGTGGCGTCACAAGGGGGTGCGGGGGGTGCGGCCCGCACCCGGGTGACACCATTGCAGGGGTGACACCAAAATGACTGGCAGTCATTTTGGTGTCACCCCCTCTAAAAAGTCGGGCACTCGGTCATGGACAGTGTCAGGAGAGAGGAGGGGACCCGGGGGCATACCTCATCCCGCCAGGCGAACTTCCCCTCCTCTCTCTGCCGGCGTCCATCACTAAGATGGCCACCGGCAGGCGTCAATCAGATAGCCGTGCATGCACGATGACGTCAGTGCACAGGTAAAATGCATTGGTGCAATGCAGTGCCATTCACTCTGTGGTTATCCTGACAGCAAGACACTGGCAGGATCATTACAGAATGAATGGCACCCTATGGCGTTGTTGGCATGCTGTTCCTTCTGAATGGCACCCCAACAAACTGACCCGCATTGTCGTGTGCTGCCCCAAAAAATGGTGCATGCATGGTTTGCGCAACACAGCATACGTTAGAGCTTTACCACGTGTCATATGCTGCAACATGCAGAAGGTGCGTTGGGGTGTCATTCGGAAAGAACAGCTCCCCAACGATGCAATGGGGGTGCCATTCATTTTGTAATGATCTTGCCAGTGTGTTACTGTCAGGAATGAATGGCACCAATGCATTTTACATTCATTTCGGTCAAGCACTTGGTAACATGCGGGTTGCTGCAATGCCATAGTGTGAACAGGCCCGTAGTCTGACATTCCCGCTCACACAGGGAAAGAATACAAGTAGAAAAAATAAAAATAAAAATTTCACAAAAGCGCACTACGCCAAAGTGACTGCGGCCAAAAATAACACACCGCCCAGAAGAAACTCAGTGAGAATATAGAGAACTCCAGCAGATAAGGTCCCCCTGGTGGGAACGGAACCCAGGGCCCCCGGTGCTGCGTGCCAGCTTCTCTCTGGATCCGATCGTTACCGTTCCTGGAAAATTCTCTGGTACAGCGACGAGCGATGTCTGCGGCTAATCCTTCCTCGCGTACACGGTAAATAGTCTGCGTGTTAAATAATGCAAAGCTTTTATTACAATGATTTAATCAC